TGTACATGTACGTGTCCATATAAAATACAGCATGGACCCGCATGAAGTTTTCAGCACATCATGCTGGCCTGGCCTCACGAGGCCACGAGCCAAATTGATTGCTGTCCGCTGCGTCACCAGGCGTCATAAATCAGGCTATACTGACCACACTTCCAGTACAAATCTCGCATAACTCGGAACAGTTGACTGTTTGTTGGGGGAGGTATTTGACGTTCTTCGGGGGGGGGGAGCACCCACGACAGCTGGGGTCTGTGAAACCATGGAGGTCCTAAATAGGCTTTTGTAGCACTCCCCGCCAAAAATAGGAAAATAAATCTCCACACTTTCGTCCATAGCACGGATATGCTGGACATCATCCTGTTAGGCTGATTTCAGACTTTTGACCAGTTTTTAAGACTTTTTCATTGACTTTGCTGATGTGGAGACTTTCACTCGCAATTGTTCTCCTCGTTGGCAATCTGAATGCAGTGAAACTAAGTCATAAGGACGTTGATTTGGGGATTATTACGTGCTGCTTGTGAAAAACTCAGCAGCGTTTGACGTAAGGGCTGAAGGTCTGTGGCGCAACTTAAATCAGTACAGATGTTGAAAAATTAAATTGTTAAAAATCACTGAAGATATTTTCTGATGGAAAAAATCATATACAGTTCGTAATTCCTTTAAATTTCATTTAAACAAGAGTATTACAATTAATTAAAAATTATCCATCGTGGATACTTCCTTGTCGTCAATGGCACGATAATTCAACTTCCCCGTAGCAAATGCATCCTTGCAAACAGTTGTTTGTAGCACCCGTGCTAGTATATTTGACTTGACCATCCACTCGACACCGGCAATGTCGGTGGTCGATTGATTAATATGTTTACAGTAGCAATAAAGGAGGTCATGGGTTTGAGTTCCACCCGACTTAGCTGGTGCGTGCGTTTTTCACAAAAGCTGGTATTTATCTAATATTCAGTGTTATACGTCGGGAAAGGCAAATTTAAATTATGAAAAGATTTTTGTGCAAAAAATGACGAGGAGTGATGCCTTTTAAGGCACCAATCATTGTTGGGAGTATATGACGTGACACTTGAAAAGATTTTTTTTATAATCACAGCTCTTCCTGAGATGGAATCTTCTCCGAGGAGAATGAATGATGAGACAGGAAATGGGCCGAGTTCTTACCGTACCGAATGTCCTGAGACTACGGACTCCTCACAGTCACCTTTTGGAGCTGTTACTCACAATTCAACTGGTAAAGCTACTGTCGGGGTAAATACGGACAAAACGTGACTTTTATTCCATATAACGCGAAGGATTACAGGCACTATTAGATAACTGATACTTTAACTGATAATATTTTCAATATTGTATCTTAGGCAAAACCATTAGTCTCAATATACAGTTTGCATTCGTTTTGAAGTCGTTTGACAAAGGTCATCTTTTCTTATTCGTTTTTATGTAAATCCATTAAGATCTGGTCGGGTTTTCTTCTGAAAAAAATCACACATTTGAAGCCTTCTTATCTGCCCAAGAGGCAAGGAAAGCAAACTGTACTCAATTGCTGGTGTGGATCGAGTGAGGATCACGGAACGCTACGATTTCTTAGCTGTGCGTAAATGACCTGTATAATTATACAACGTGACATAGAAATGGAGGAAAAAATCGAACGCAGGGGCAAATACTCATCAAAAGAAGATGTATTAATTAACCTGAGTTGTAGTATTGGCCGATGAGCAGCATTTGTAAAGCTGATGCGGTACGCTATTTTTATACCAGGCATCGCTGTTTATCGAATATTTATAACGAACAATTTGTGTAAATACCAAAATAGATCATTTCTGTTCATTTTGCTTTTTCAGGAGTTTACAAGTGAATCTGATTCATCCAGCGCTACAGACAGCAGCACTAACTTGGACACTAACAGCAGCAGCGAAGATGAACAATGGGAAGGAGAAGCAACAGATCCTATAGATGTCATCAAAGTAACAAAAGACACCCATGCTGAGCAGAGAAGCTCCGACACAGTTCCTGTTAGTGCAGAAGGAGGGGACTTTCATTCCAAATGTAAAGCTCTTTTGATATGGGTGTGTCACTTTTTATTTATGTGGCAGAGTAATTATTTTATAAGCGATCGTGCCTTAGATATGCTTCTCCGCTTTCTGTCACTATTATTCAAGGTGATTAGCCAGCAAATCACTGCTGTTCGCGAGGTTGCAGACATCATTCCACAGTCAGTTTATATGATTAGACGCCATCTACAATTCGATCGAGACTCATTCATAAAATATGCCGTCTGCCCAAAGTGTACTAAGTTATATGATTTCGGGGAACTGATCTATGTAGTGGATGGGAATGCTAATCCTTCTAAAACCTATGGTTAATGAATTGAATACTTTGTGGAAAGGTGTTCAAATTACACAAAATGGCGAGGTTATGACAATTCGTGGAGCGCTAATGTGTTGTTCAGTAGATTTGCCTGCGAACAGAAAACTTTGTGGTTTTTTGAGCCATAGTGCTTCACTTTTCTGTTCAAAATGCTTAAAAAGGGCTCCAAGCGTACAAACGGGGGAGGTGGACAAGTCTGGGAGGCCGAAAAGGAAAAATGATTACGGGGGTTCGATAGGAAAACGTGGCTTCTAAGAGATAATAATGGCCATCGGAGATCTGTTGCACAAGCCAGGCAAAGTTCCTGTTTAACTGAAAGAGAAAAAATTGAGAAGAAAGTTGGAGTGCGATACAGCTGTCTACTTGACTCGGAGTATTTTGATGCAGTCCGTTATTGCGCCATTGATCCAACGCACAATCTTTTTGTAGGGACAGCAAAACACGTGTTTGGTCACTGGGTTAAGAAAGACATACTTAAGAGGAAAACTTTAGATAAAATTGACGAAAAAAATAATCATGTTTTAGCCTCGACAGACCTTGGACGATTACCAACGCGCATTGCTTCAAATTATGGGAACTTTACAGCCGACGAATGGAAGAATTGGACTCTATATTTTTCTTTGTATGCATTAGATGGGATTCCTCCTGCGGAACATCTGAAGTGCTGGCAGACGTTTGTTCTTGCATGCAAACTTATCTGCAAACCGTTCATATCTCTTGCTGAAGTAGAAAAAGCAGACTTTCTGTTCTTGAAATTTGGAAAGGAGTACGAAAAACTATACGGTTCTTTGGCAATAACTCCCAATATGCATCTTCACGCCCATTTAAAAGAATGTGTCATTGATTTTGGTCCGGTTCCAGCCTTTTGGTGTTTCTCTTATGAACGGTTTAATGGCTTTATTGCAGACGTACCAACCAATAATAGCAATATTGAGGTACAATACATGAGATCTCTAACAAGAATTCCATTTGTGAAAAATATCACTAACCAACTTGACTTTAGCAAAGACTTTGTGGAAATATGTAACAGCGTTTCACCAGGTCACAATTTTTCAGAACAAACCCC